AACAACACTTGTGACCATTCCACTATCTTTCCTCGGTAGGCATGACATTTCACAGATAATAAAGTACCTGCAGAGAGCCATGATCACCTATATCCAGAAGAGAGAAAGACAGAGCTGAATTTAAAACTGTAGAGAAAGCAACAGGAAACTACTCCACTATTTTTCCAAAGAAATCATGGCATATCACAAAGAAACATGATCTGTGGAGAGCCATGATTGTTTACATTCTGAAAGGATAAGAAGTCAAAATTTAAATGTACTTATTGATAAGTACTTTTAACAGGGAAAGGTGTTAGAGAAAGATATTGTGCCATACTTCTTGATGTGCTGTCTCTCTTCAGGACGTAGACAATCATGGCTCTCCACAATTTCCTGTCCTTCAAAGCTCTTAATAAATTTTATCGTTTTCTATTTCTCCTAAACCTTGTTCTGCCATCCATTTACTCAAGCTCACTAAGTAGGTCATATATTGTTTTCCTCTGTCCCTCTTGCCTTCAATCTGTCCTGCGAGTATCAGATTTTGCAAGCTTTCTTTCCTCATTATGCGCCCTAGTAATTTCAACTGTCTCTTCGTGAAGTATAAGTTTCATTTTTGTCCCATTTTCTCTAAAATTTTGTCATTTCTCACATGTTCAGTCCATGGTATGTTCCTTCTGTAGAACCACATTTCTGTTGCTTTAAGTCTCTTCTTCATCTTTGGGGAGATTGGCCAGCATTCACTGCCACAGTGAAAGATTTTTGTTCTAGAGTTTATACTATTTACTAAGTAATACTAAATGAAATATTATAATAAATGTTTTTTTTTATTCAAAATAATTGAAAAAGAAGATTAAGCTAGAGAGAAGAAATACTGCAGTGTAAAGCATATTGTCAAGTTCAGCATTTCAAACAAATTCTGAAGGCCAAATACTGTTTTACATTCCTTACATATTACAGAAATCTTTTGATATTCTGAGCCCTTGTGTGTACTTGAAAAAAACCATGCATTCAAAATAAAAACGAAAACAAAGTTCAAGTGTCATATTCAAGCTAGTGAAATATATATCAACTATATCTTCTTTATTGATCTTCCAAAATCTGGCTATGCTTCATTTTCAAATTCTAAAGGCAGTCACAGAATGACTATATAATAATTTTTTTTTTTAAATGGTGTAAGGGAGGTAAATCAGTGTTTGATATGCAGAATTTGAAGCTCGCTACCTTAACAATAAAATGCGGTGGAAGGTGATGACAAATATGCTGATATCACATTCAGGTTTAAGGAAAGTCTTTAGAATTTAAACGAGTGCAAAATAAGAAGAAGATATCAAAACAGAATTAAACGAAATAGAGAAATGCGTCATGTTATCTATCTATATATAAAATTCTGTGACTTGCATTCGTCCGTCTGTCAAACCCTTTAGCCATACATTAACTGATCGAAACCAAATTTTGGGGAGAAGTGCAAACAGGCCAAGAGGGGTACAGAGTACAGTTGGTTTTATTAGGGTGTGTAGCTTAGTACAATAAATTTTCACTATTTTTTTTTTTTTTTGAAAAATTAAGTTTTATTATTTATTTACAAAATGCTCCCACTATTCTAAAAACAATTTAATGATTAAAATAACAAATACTTATTTAATAAAAATGCAATATCGTTTTTTTTGCATATCTTTGAGTTTTTATATTTCAACAATTGGTTTATGAAATTGAACAAAACAATTTGTAAATCTTGACAAAATATGTTAACAATAATTTCAGCAATACTAAGTATTTAGTATTGCTGAAATTATTGTTAACATAAGGATTTCAACATGGGTCAGTGTGTTGCAAAAAAAATTTTTATATACTAATTACTGTCATCATCTTTCTTGCTGTTATCACATTTTAACCATTCTTCTCCAGCTTTAATCAGATAAATGTCAATCTGGATAACTTTCAGAGAATTTTGAACTAAACCCTTTATGTATTCTCCAGGGGACAAATTGTTTTCGTTCTGCTGACCATGTCTTGGGATATCTCATCTAGTTATTTAGTACTGCTCAGTTATTGCTTATTTTATTTCCACCGAGGACAGGTACGCTCTGCTTGGCCCATTGTTACCATATTCACAAACCAATGCTTTAATCTGCTAGGCTATTCTCTTGCAAATTATCACATGTAAATAATGATAACTCTTCATCTCAGAAATGCAAACAGAAATTATAGAGAAATGTGCTTTTCAAATGTTAATTGTAACAAATTTATTTTATGGTTAAATAAAATTATTTCTAGTTTATCTATTTAAATCAAAAGGAACTTTAATTGTCTTCTTTTTTTTTTTTAAGTTCTAATACCATCTTTAACTTTGAGAAATCTAAGCACTCTTATCAGGAAACATTCGGCATTTCAGTTGAAATTTATAAAATCTTTCTATTAAAACATTTTTTCAAGAAAATAGGTTTGTGGGGAAAATAATAATATTAAAGAATAAAAAAAGAAAAAGAAATACATTTTTTAATGATGCTAGTAATAAAGGAGCAGGCAATTTTATAACTCCCTTGACTTCGCCAAACGCCAATTAGGTGGCTCTGTCTATAAAAAGACAAACACTTCCTTCCCCTCTTTTTCTCCTCTTGCTGTAAGATATAGCAGCACATGGTAAAAAAGAGATTCATTTCCCCCAGGTCAACTGAACTCTTTAACTTCCAATGCATTGTGTTCCAAAACCTGCACCTATGAAATAAATCAAGGCTAACTTGAACAGAACCATTATGATGACACATATACTTACTTACCCTAACTTCTGGACCAAAAAGAAAATGGACATACCCAAGAAACATTAATAACTGCTTCCCTAGTAACCATAAAAAGGAGAATAAATTGCCCATAGTGGAAACACAAGTTTTTGGTTGCTTCTTCAAGTGTTTACATGTAAACACACACATACACACTTATGATACATCCAACACAAACCTTTAAATTCCATAGGTTCCTCAAGTCCAGTAACTGTTATCACTCTTTGAAGTATTTATGGAGGCTTCCTTACTATCCTTTTGTTTGAAGTAGTCTGGAATGACAACATCTTAATTATAATGTTATTTTCTCTTTGAGTTTTATATAGCACATCCATTTTATTTGTTGCTGCTGTTGAAAGTCCTCAAGTAATTCTATAGCACTAGTTTACATGATTCAAAGGACAGTTATCACGATGGCCAACAGGCTTCATTCACTCAGAGCCATTTTTAAATATTGATTTAAGAAAGCAGTTATATACACTAACAGTTTATATATTTCTAAACAAGTTTGGTGTCATGTGTGACAGCCATATAAAAGTCTTGAGCTGAAGAGGCTATTTAAGAACATGACTTAAATGTTTTAGGTTATTGCGTTGGATTTGCAGCAATTTGTGAAACTATCCCTTGTACAGCCTATATTAAATTTCATCTTCCTATATTAAATTTGTTATAACTGATCCATACACCAAAATGTTTGAAGTGTTTAGCATTTACTAATTCCACATTCAGAATTTTTATGATGGATTCAGTGCTTTCATTCCAATTCAAGATCATAGTTTCTATTTTGGAAAGTTTTATCTTCAATTCTTGAAACACTTGAAAGAAATGTTGATATTTTTGTTCAAAGATCATTCTTCTCTTAACTATGGGTACATATGTCATCATGGATCAAACTTACCTTGTACATAGTTCTCTGGAGTGTGGGGATCATAAATGCAGTGCAGATAAGTATTATCTGTCTATATCTCCAAGATGAGGTATTATCATTATTTACATTACTGGAACTCATCTTTATTGCCATATTCACAACGTTGTACACTCTGGCCTTCTTGAGGTGATTGGAATTTTGAACTGAATCACATGAAGAAGGCTGGATCGTACAACGGCCGAAACGTTGTGCATGTGGCAATAAAGATAACAGTCCAAAATGTAAGTAACTAAATATTAGCAGGAGAGTTAGTATGCATGTTATCTGGTCACTATACCAAAATTTCTTGGTCACCTATGGCCGGAAAAGAAATATGATTAGTTCCAAGGAGAGAGTGTGGAGGCATTCACTTTGACACCAAAACCCCAAAAAAGGGAGCCCTGAAGAAACTGAAAAATTCCTGTCCCTACCCACGACACGTATTCGTATGCATTCCCACACTAAACTTGACCTTTTGTGTTATTTCACTCTTGAGAGGAGGTAGATAAAAAATACACCAACAAAGAAATGTGTGTGTCTTTCAACTCTCTTTCTTAAAGATAAAAAAAGTCTGTTTAAAAGGGTTAGAGGTGAAAGTTAACATGCCAAATATTGCAAAAGATAGCAACACACACATTTCTTCAGTTACCCTTGAACGGTTAACGGTTCTTGTCCTCTTTAAAGATTTTAAACCACCAGTTTGCATTTTCAAAGAAACTTAGGTGCTTTTCAAAATGCAAAATTAAACTAAACAATAAGCTGTTTTAGAATTCATTTCATTTCGATAATACTCGACAAATTAAGTGACACTTTTTTTTTGTTTTAAACGTATTTGTTCTTACTTATGTGGCAAAAAAAAAACGAGGGTAAAACTAATCACAGTTACTAATATTTTAAAATACATTATTCAATAATTACTTCAGGACAGAGAGACTATTTTCTAAAATGTTTAAAAAAACTAATTTTTCTTTTTTTTTTAAGACTTGCTTGGTTGAGCCTGACATCTCAGCATCGCCTCGGAACTAAAAAAAATAATAAATAGCAAAAAAACAAAATTCAATTTTCCTTTTAAAACAGTAAGAATTTACATAATACAATATAGATTAATATTACATTACAATAAATGCTCATAAATAAAAACATCTTCTTGGTTGTACTGATTAACTTCAGTTAAAACATCATGTGTTTTTTCCGCCACGAATTTAAAATTTTGTTACTTGAATTGTAAACAAACGATATGCCGGTGTGATAAAAGAAAGATAACATTTAAAAAAAAAAAATCATCAAGCTATCTATATCGTCGAGGTATTATTTTAACAAAGTCAAAATAAACTTACCTAAGCAGTTTCGTGAGATTTTGAAGAAAAAAAAACTAACAAATTTAAAATCTGTGCCTCTAAGGATTCATTGCAGTTGAATTGAGTAAGTCTTAACATTGACTCCTGGAAATTGAAGAGTGAATAGAATCCAAGGGAAATAACTCAAACAACTTTTGCACGTGTGAGAGTAGATCAGATGGCTCATCGAGTAAAGATGTTTTTAAAGTTTCAGTAATTTTAAGTTATACGAATTTCTTAGATGAAGTAGTAGGGTGCAGACAATGTCAAACAAGTTCCTAAATGATGCAAGTTCAAATCACTTCAAAGTTACTTTTGAAATAGGATATTTTTGTTGATAGAATGTGCGGGTAAAGAAAGATTTAAGAGAAGTACCTCCAAAAACAAAAAAATCATGCGCTCTTTCGACGCGTGAATAAAAAAAAAAACAATACCACCTATTTTTATAAATTTACTAAAAATCGAATAATTCTTGGATTTCATTGAAATTTTCAGCATTTATTCATTAATGAGTGATCTTTATATCGAATCCATTATTTTTATTTTTAGGTTTTGCTGAAATATTTCAGGTCAATTAAATCCTCACGTTTTTTTTTGTTTTTTTTTAACTCTTTGCTAATAGGGAATTTCAATTTTCCGATTGCTAACTTTTATTGAGTTTTATAAGATTAAGAAAAAATTAATATCGAGTGAGTGTCAATACATTAGTTCGAAATCTTAAGAAGAAAATTGAAGAAAACCCAAAAAATTAATTTTTATGGAAAATTTGATGATGCTCAATTTTAATAAAAAACGCTATCTGCATTCACATGACAAAAATTAACTTGTATTTTTACAATACGATTTTGAAACTCTTTCAGATCTTTGTCGTTGCTGATCAACTTGATATAAAATGTGTTTGAAGAATCGAAAAATATAAAGCTTTAAAATGCCATTTTCGAATGTGAACACTTTTTTTAAATAGTTTTTTATATTTTGTAAATGTTTACTTTATTTTATGGAAGCTCAAAAATGAAAATCTAAAATAAAATTCTGAGTTATGTCCCGTGAGTAATGCACTTCCACTTCGAAATTTATATAAGATTACAGTGGCTAAAAGTAATCAATAAAAGTAAAGATCAAACAATCAGTTCAATAACTTTGTTATCATTTTTTTTATAGTTTATTTTTCTAATAAATTTTCATGTGAAACTAAAACGTTCTCATTGGGTACAATGAAATATTTTGACATCAGTAAAATTGTGTACAAATATCACTTTTAACTATTTTTTAATTTTTCTGACTTCATTTTCTTTTTTCTTTTGTTCCTTTTGATATTGTAGGAAATTCAAAATTATTTATTCAAGTTTCATAAAGTTTTAAATTCATTAGCTTTTCATTAGCAATTTTTCAATTGTGGTAACTGCAATGAATTTAGGTAATAATAGCACAAGCAGAAAAATAGGAAAAAATCTCCATCTGATAATAGTTGATCTTATAAGAACAATAAGCACAATGGAATGAGAACAGCATCCTCCCCTAGATTAAGTAAAAGAGTAAGTTTGAATTTCCCTGAAGATTACTCAAAGTGAAAGATACTTGAACAATACCAGAGAGTATATTCAGGTTTGGTACAAGGATCCTGTACCTCTCCTCCCAAATTTATGATATGGGGCCTCCAATTCTACGACATCTCAATTTTCATAATAAATACAAATGTTAGTGTAACCTCTATATATATTTCTGAGATAAGGTATTGTAATTATCTACAAGGTTTGATTGTTCTTCATAAAGGAATTCCATCAATAAAACCTTATTGTGTGGTTAAATTGAAGTTAAATTGTTTCAATGTTTTAGATATTCAGTAAATTTCCTATGGCCATAATAACTTTCAGATAGTATGCATTGTTCACAAATCTAATAATGAAACAAAACCAGGGATGAAATGTCAGAGCATGATTCAACTGCAAGTGCAAACGCCCCTCATATTTGCCTGTTTACTGTAAACCTGGGGGTTAATAAGAGGTTTTTCGGGAATTTTTCCCTTTTATTGCTTCAATAATCCTTCTCAATTTTTGCATCAAAGTTAGTTTGAATACCAATTTAAGATGGAACCATATGAAGAAACATTTGGCTAAATGGCAAAAGCCATATTTGGACCTAGTTTGTCGCAGATTTCATCCACTTAACTGAAATAATCTAAACCAAAAATTCATGCAAGACAATTTGTGTGTCATGTAATTTACATTGCAAATTTGGTGTTATGGTCAAAAAATTGTCTTTTTGAAAAAATTATTGGATAAAAAAATGAGGAACTTATTTAAGTTTTTATTCTAAGTAATATGAAAAACATAATTTTTTCAGAGTTTTTTGCAATTTTCTGTGTGAAGCCAGTATCGCAGGAAAACTATCAAGCACTCTGTATAAACCTTGTAACATGAGCTGATGTTTTGCATTAAGTGCAAAGAACATCAACTCATCCAGTAAAAATTTTGTTCAAATGTAAATGTAACTTTATCTTGATTTTTGCAAAACAGTCATACCCACCTTCAGTTTTATCAATTTTTCTGCCAAATCCAGCAGGCCTGGATATTGAAAAGTTGGTCTTGACCTTTATTGGTAAATTTGCAACATGTGTGTACAATTTCATCAAAATTGGTTGAGAAATGAGATTATTTTTTAGATTCATGACATTTTGGCCGAATTATTTCAACCAACGACTTGATCCACTGGGCCATGGCAAGAAAGATGAGGACAACAGTCCAAACAGTGTAAATAGTTTAAATAGTTATTGTAACCTAATTATATACAATAATAGATCAATTCAACTAGAAAAATTTAAAAATAAATACAATGTATCTAAATACAAATTAAGGACATGTCATAATAGATCATTCCATCTTAAATAACACTGTTTTGTAGCAATTTTTAACATCAACTTGAGGTTTTTCTTGTTAAAAAGTTCAGTGATTTTAACACATTTGACATTATGGATAAACAAAAAATAGTAAATTTTATATTATTTACATTATTTGGACTATTGTCTTCATCTTTTTCGCTATATCTATCACAACGTTTCAGCCGTTGTATGCTCCAGCCTTCTTCAGGTGGTTGGAATGTCAAACCGAACCCTTTATTTCACTCACTGGGTCTAGACTGTTCTAGTTCCATGTTTGATGGATGTCAGTTATCAGTTATCTCCTATTATTATAAACCAATAGTCTGAATAATGTAAATAATGTACATAATACCTCATCTCAGAAATATAGACAGTAAATTTTATATTGTATTATTTTTTAGATTTGGCATGAGCAAAACAAATTCTTGTATTTAGACAAAAAAACCCAGAATGATATCAAAATCTGCAAAATATTTTCATCCTTTAATGCTTAGCTTAATTTGTAACATATATAAATGTAAGTAGAAAAAAAGCAAGTGTTGATAAGATAGCAAGGGTCACAAAGCACAGCATGGGGGTCCCAATCAGGCTTGGCCTCCCTGGCTGGTGGACTCGGGAGTAGTATGCACCAGCCATGAGTACAATGGTGAAAACTTTGTGATAATAAGATAAAAACAATTGAAGAAGATATTCTTTTAACTTTCTGTAAGAGGATATTAAGATGTTTCATTATTTCCCTTGGAAATAAAACAAATTTCTGAACTTGACCAGTCAATTGCACCAACTTTTATTTAAACCTTGTTTGATTGAGGTTTTGTGAAAAGTTATCTTATGACAACATCCATTCCAATGATATATTGCTATGTTTGGTGTATATTGTTGCTGTGTAATGATTAAAAGAAAATGCACAATGTTGATAAATGTTTTATCTATCTATCTATCTATCTATCTATCTATCTATCTCTCTCTCTCTCTCTATATATATATATATATATATATATATATATATATATATATATTAAGAAATGGACAAGGTCCGACAATTTATTTATTAAAGACATTTTTATGTTTAACGTTGTTATTTATAAATACAAGTATTTAAGCAAATGTCCGAGTTTATGAACGAAATTTTCTTGAAAACATTTGGACATTCAGGCCTAAATGTTAGAATTTACTGTTTATCATAAACAGAATATTTTCTTAAATACTTGTATCTATAAATAACAACGTTAAAATAAAAAATGTCTTTAATAAATATATATATATATATATATATATATATATAAATGGCAAATTCTGTCTGTCCGTCTGTGTGTCTTGCTCTACAGACATATTACAAATCTTCTAAATAAATAAATGGCAAATTCTGTCTGTCCATCGGTGTGTCTAAAACTCCTCTAACTCAGGTCTCCCTTTCTCTATATGGACATATTATACCTTTTTGGAATGAAGATGATTTGGGATTGAAAATCTGCCCTTCATCTGATGCTTGGACATCCAACATTTGGATTTGTGTTCGGATGAGGAGGGAACAGTTAGAAATTCAAATTTTTTAAATAACTGAAAAAAATTAGTGATTTTAAATGTTTTAATTTATATTGAGTTTAAAGTAACATAAAAAATTTGAATTTAAAATTTTTTGTTTTAAATTCAGTTTAAAATATCTCCAAAATTTTATGAACTGAGGAAATCAATTTTATTTCTTCAAAATGTCAAGTTATCAGAGTTAAAGTGAGAGGTTTTGTAACATGAGGCTTTGAAGTTCCACAGAGTTTGTGATTTGAAGAAGTCAATTTTCAGCCTGGATTGAAATTTCAGTCCAAACTGGATTTTCAGCCCAAATCGGTCATTTGGCCAGAATTGGACTTATAGCCTGAATCAGAGTTACAGTGAGGTTTTGAAGTTCCATGGAATAAATTGAGGAATTCAAAGTTATTTTTTCAAAATTATCATTGCTGTTTTTTAAGCTGGACCAGAGGTCCCTTTAGTTTTGGACAGGAGGCTCAATTAGCCTTCCACAGTAGCTAGCTTAAAAGTCAGCTTGCATAAAGGTACAATTTCAGCCTTGCCTGAAAGTATATATTTTCATTCAATAAGACTTCTCGAATATTGAGGCCGGTAGATGAAAATAAATAGATATAAGGTTTTATAAATAAACGGAGCCTGTACTCAAATACGGGTATCCACTAAAAATAACATATGTGCATATGTGAGTGAGTATGCCATGTGGTTCACTTGAAACTAAGAAGTTGGTTTGCCTGGGGAAAGAAGTCTTCTCTATGGAGAAACGAGTCTATCTTATCTCTGCAGCATCCTGCGTTTGAGAGGGCAAAAGAGAGAAAGAGAAATTATGTCCTTCCCAGTTGTACAACTTAATACAATGCCAGCCAGCAGGTATTAAGAGGAGTTCTCTGTTAGACAAGGTGGCGTAATCCCATAAACTCACACTGCAACTACATTCTAACCTATTTGGGACATTAAACTAAAAATTGTTAACTACAAAAAGTTAACTTCAGAA